ATTACCGGGTAAACAGAAGGGTGTTGAATCACCGCTTTTCAGTAAAAAATGTAAATTTAGATTCTATTTAGTTGAAAATTTGATTAGGAAGTGAAAATTTGTAGTAAATGTAATTTGTGGAGAAATTGTAGCCTTTGTTTGGGTTCCATTTTTGTCAAAATATATTTTTCTCTTTCTTATATTTAACCACACATTCTACAATAAATAATATTACACGTAAATTCAAAATTTTTCTTAGTTTTTTAACTATACATTATTCAACAAATTAGTATTCCAAAATATATTTTTCGTCAAAATTAATTTTTAATGGAGCCTAAATAGGGGCATAGATAAATTTTTGAAAAAAATAAAAGGGTTGAGGTTTTTGTAAAAGACGTGAGGGAGAGACTCACGAGAGATTGAGAAAAAAGAGAAAAATCTCAAATTTATAGTGATTTTGCAAAATAAATGAGGATTAAAATTAAATTTTTAATATATTTGATAAAAGTTGAAAAGTGAGGAATCTCATGAAACATGTCATTAAATTTAATTATTAATTATAACTTAAATTAAAATTTAGATTTTAATTCATACCAAACAATACTTTATTAAGAAAAAAATCCCCAAAAGTCCACATGACACATGCCCCCTCCATGTCTGCCACTGCTCTTGTAGATGCCTAAAATGTTTTATATTCTGTTTATGAGAGAAATTCTACTGTTAAATTTATGGACCAAAAACTCCAATATTTTTTCTTAATTACTAAATATATTTATTACTTTATTTAGCGAGTATGTTTATGCCGATAAATTAAATGAATAATGTTATTTACAGTCGCTCATTAATATAGTCGTCATACGTAACATACACATGACTGATAATTATTTGATGTACAAGTCAATAAAAATCAGCCATGTATATACCACGTAGGACAACAATAGTAGTGAGCAACTACGAATAACATTACTCAAATTAAATATATTAAAGTACTTTTTTTAAAAAAAAAAAATTACCATTGACCCCTAAGTTTGGGAAGCCTTTATACCTTTACAGCCTCCATGAATGTATCTCAAAGTTCCCCAGCACGGTCCCTTGCTAGATAGAAAGGTAGTGGCTTTGCTCTGATATAACCCATAATCGCCGCGCTTAAGTGGCTTTGCTATGATATAACTCATAATCGCCGCACTTAGTAGGACGGCGAGATAACTTCTTTATTAAGGGTACGTTGGACACGCAATATTAAAATATTTAGATAATACAATAAACTAATTCAATATATTTTTTATCCTTAATATTGTTCTGTACTTTGCATTCCTAATTAATAACAAGACGCAAGTAGTTAGCAAAATGAAATTGAGTACCATATCGAATAAAAGAAAATATTTTCATTTAGATAAAAGATACAAAGTTGTAAAAATAGGATATAAAAGGATGAGTTATGACATTCAAGATCTTGCCATCCATTAATCTTTTTCTAAAATATGTATTTGCGATAGAGTATCACTCATGGTGAAAGTTTTTAGTTTGAGTATGATTATCCCTAAAATATTTTTGGCTGTATAGGCCACTGTACATGGCCAAGAATAATTCACAGGGCTTGTACAGGCCAGACACATGTCGATGTGGGTGATTATTTAAAAAAAATAAAATAAAATAAAATAATTCACCTATCCCCTCGTATGTGTGAGTGACCTGTACAGTCAGCTCAGTTGTTATCCCTAACCTATCCTCAAGTGACCATTGCCTCTAACATTGCTCGCACAGTCGTACTCATATTATTTAATAAATGTATACATAAAAAGAGTAAATAATAAATGGACCAAATTACTTATTTTGATATGGTAATGAAGAAGTGAGGTGTCTGTGACAAATACATCTGACACATACAAAGCCCATAGAAAAACAAGGAGAAAGAAAAGGGTCCTAAGATTAACGTGAATGGCGTTAATTCACTCAGTTTCACCATCATATTTCACCATTCAAAACCTCCATAACATAAGCCTCCACTTTTCCCTCCCTCAACCAAATAACTTCCTTTTTCTCTCCCCCTACTCGAGAGAAGGGCCGAGAAGGAAAAGTTAAGAAAAAACAATAAAAAAATTTAGAATTTCCTAATCTTTTTTCAATCATTTGGTGTGATATCGATGGGTTTCCGTGCTGGGCTTGTTTTCATGTTCCTCTTGGCCATAGTCTCCGCCATGGCTATGGCGGCAAAATCCTCCGGCACCGATAACTTGTTTTACGGTGCCGTCATCCCTCAACGTGGTCATGAGTCAATGGACCTCGACGTGGACGAACTGATGATGGAGTCTGAAACTTCTCGCCGTCAGTTATATTATTCGAGGTACATTAGCTACGCTGCCTTGAGGAAGAACAATATCCCATGTAACCGCCGTGGAAACTCGTACTACAATTGCAGGAACCGCCAGAAGGCAAATCCCTATCGTCGTGGCTGCACCAAGGCCACCAGATGTGCTAGAGCTTATTAAACACTTTATTTGAATGCATGCATGCATGGGATGATAAAGGTTTCATTTTGAGATTGTTTGAATGTGCTCATACGAATTGAATTACGGTAGGAATAAAAAACGAGATTGTTGGTGTCAAATCTTGTGGGTAATAAGTATTATATAAGAATTTTAGTTGTTGAAAAAATAAAATAAATTTTATTATTAGATTTAAGTTTTCTTTTCTTCTTTTGAATTCTTTGATTCACATAATATTATGCCATCTGAACGGCATCATTTGAGTATTTTATTGAGTTATATTTGTTATTTTTCCCCATCAAATGTCTACAAATTTAACTGCACACTGGGCAACGATAAATCATGTTTTTCTTTTTATAAAATAATTCATATTAATTTTGAATTTTACTGTTTGTACATCCAAGGTTGACACCCCATATGACAGCCCCCCTCACAAGAGGGGAGGGCCGACGTGTAGTAAAATAATCGTGAGCCCCCCTCCTGTGAGGGGGCTATCATCTATGGTGTCAACCTCGAATATATACATGACAACTCTTTAATTTTCTTGTATGCATCTGTTCGAGAACACTTTTTGGGATAATAGATTTTGTAATATTAATATTTTGGAGAATATTTAATTAAAAAAATTGGATTTAAATGGAAAATTAGCACCCCTAGCGCTAAAACATTTGACCACCATTTTCTAAAATTCATTTGAGAGGTTTTTACTACGTTAAAATGGATAATAGCAAAAGACGACAAGCAAAGTAAAAATAAGCGGCATTTTATTATTCGCAGGGTAAACAAGGGCGAGACCAACATCATGCCTTTAAAACATCGCATTATATAAAAATAAAAAACAATCAAACAATTTTGTGGTTTATAATCTGTCATGCTTTTTTAATCAACAAAGATTAAAAAAACACGAAGAATTCCGAGAGAAGGATAGCCAATTGTTTCCGAGAGTTAAATACAACATACAAATTGACGAACAAAATTGGCCGAGCCGTCATCAGCAAGAAACTCAGGAACTCAGCATTACAAAAGCTCTCAAAACAACCACCATCGTCTTCGACCCTGCTTTCTCTGCAGCAAATAAGCAAGTGTGAGGCATGCAGAATATATATTACTAGTGGTAAAACCAGTAAAATCCAGTTTTTGCTTTGATACGGTGACATTGTAATCAAGATGCTTTATGTAAAATTCTCTTAGTGGCCGTTACTTGTCATTTCATTTATATTAAAAGGCTATTTCATGCGTAATTCAATATTCACTTCACATGCAATTCCATTAAAAAATGTGACCATGAATAATCAATCTGCTTTATAATAAAATATCACTCACTGCATATGATGAACTCGTTTACTTGATATAGTCTAAAGTCCTATTAATAATCTTTTTTAATACTCAAACCTTTATGTAAAGGGAGTTCTTCCAAAAGTTTGTCTAGCAATTTCAATTTTCAACCCCAAAGATTAACAGGATAGATTAATAGCAAAAGCAAGATGAGAGAAGAAACCTTTTGGTCCTGATTACTCTGGGTTTGCAATAATATAGGCCGAGGAAGAACACTGTTGTCAACATTTTGTAGGTATGGCTGGACTCTCTCTTTCAGCATCTCATTCAACTGAAAATGGACACACAATAGAATTAGCGTAGGACAAAACATTATCACCTGAGAAGATGTTTCCAACAAGCAGCAAGTCAGGCAAATAAGATTTACAAAATCTTATCCAGTAATGGAGGATAACGTATTAGTGGTAAAATTGCCCGAAAATATCATTAAGAATGCTAAACAACCCCCCCCCCCCACCCCCCGCAACACACACAAAAAACTGCCCCACGCAAAAAACTTGCTCTTTATCTCAAAAATATGGCAATCTCTTCCTGGCAATATTACCCAGAAAATGGCTGATATTGTAGCTCTCCACTTAAAAATACCCAATTTACATTGCTGATCATCTCGGTTGTACAGCCTGCTGAAACATGATGAAATTTTCTCCAGGACTGGCGATGCAACACACACACAATCAAGCAGAAAATGCCCATATTGTAGGATAAGACTAGGAGTTAATCCAACACCCCGCTCTTCCCCATTATTTCTACCAAGTATCCCATAATTTTTTGCCAAAGTTGTGCTCTCCAAAGCAATATTCTACATATTTTATATCTGTTATGCCCATTTGCTCCCCTCACTTCATTATTAAATGTTCCCACGTAGTCTCATCAGCATGCAAAATATAAAAAGGTACCATCAGCACTTATTTACCTCAAAGTTTTTGTTAAAATAATTTCCTATTTAACAGCTAGGTGAAATGATAAGATCCCTCAATTTCAGGCGCTAAAAACACTCGATACAAACATTACATAGGCCCTCCCTGTAAAAATCTTCCCCATTTAATCTTTTCTGTAAAAGTCAATAAATACACACGAGAATGTCAGGATAGAAGAACGAAGCTTGTAGGTTTCAAATCTAATATTACGAGGCTAATACAGGGTTTAACATTTATCGGTCAGCTTTCTTGAGATGAGAAAATGAGAGCGCAGAGTAAAATTCTAAAAGGTGTAAGTAACTATATCTTGTGCTTGAAAATAATAATTAAATGGATGAATGTCATTGCATAACATATGATCAAATGTTGAAATATACAGAGGACACACTAATGTAAAGATACTTTGAAGCCTTCTTGGATTCACTGCTAACCTTTTCTTCGCGCCATTTTGCTTCCCACTGAGTATCCAATATTTTATCAGCAATTTCTCTTTGCGCATTTAGAAGAACAGTCATCTCATATAGCTTCTTTGAATCTTTCAGGTCCTCCTCAGTCCAAGAAGATGCATTCAGCGGCAGGTTCAACTCCTGCATAATGAATAACATAACGTATGAACTATACATAATAGATGTGCGACAAGTTTGTTGATCATATGGATTTATAATTTTGGAAGACATCAGCAAGTAAATGAAGAAAGTCAACAATTTTTCTTTTTATTTTCTTTCAAACAGAGAATCATAGCCCAATAAGAATAAATAAATTTAGTCAACCAAGGAGTTCAATGAAGTAATAACTCAAGTGTTAACATTACCAAAAGAAATAGCAGTTTGATGAATGACTATTGAAATAGACTTGCAAAGGTCCGAACTTTTATTGACAGGAAATTATATGGTTCTAACTTAAAATTGCACAAGTCAATTATGCTGTTCTGTGAACCTAATTGTCAGCAATGACATTTAACGAAAGATGGCATATGGAAAAAAGAAAGCAGTGAAAATCTCAAGGAAAAGGAAATTTACCCCCCAATTCTGAGGCCGTGGTGGAGGATCAAGCTTCATGACTTCAGCCTCCAGCACTTTCTTGGCTTTGTAGCATGGAATATTTTTCACAATAACAGGATCATCCTTAGCACGGACGGGGTCAATGGAGATTAAAGCCTGTTAATTGATATTATGCCAATTCAAAAATTATTCCCTTTTAGAATATCACAGAATGGGTATGTGCATACAAAGGTCAAAAGCCTCACAATCATAGATGTCATATATCCAAGAGACACAACACATTGTCTTCATTGCCTGATAAAAGTGGCTCAGCAAAAATATTTGTTATTGGTGCGTGAATTGACTTAGTAACATAATAATTAGATTCCTTAAGACAAATTAGGGCTGAGTGCTTAGTTCTTGTTAGAACATGCTTGGAGTAAATTGACAATAGAAGAGTAAGATGTACAAATTTCAGTTCTACATGATGGTATTCCTTCAATAAATGTACAAGCTATAATGAAACATATATTAGAATGAATCTGGTGAACAATTTGCTTTACTAAAAACTATTACATAATTGATTCCATCTTCTGGGAGATCAAAGAAATTTCTGCTAAACAAGAAGATCAACAAGTTCAAAAAATTAATATTTTCCATTCAGAATATTAATATTTATAATCAAAAGTAGAAATACAGTGATCATCAGCTGTAAATTTTGATTTGGAGTCAATATGCAAGTGCACTTGGAAAAGGATATATGGAAAGAGCATGGTAACAGATTTGGTAAAAGAATTAGTAACCATCACACATATTACATAATTTGAATTTAAACAGATGTAGGAATTCATAGAATGACAAGAAAAAAAAACAATTAAGTTAAAGAATGGAATAAGAAACTTGCATGGGTAAAATAAATAGATGGTACCAAATAGAATTTCACATGAACAAAGTTCAAAGAAAGTGGAGTAATCAAAGACCTAATTCAGGTCAATTAGTTAAGGACTGATAGGCACTGGGTATGCAGTATTTACAGAGTCGGAAAAGTGTGCAGATGGAGGCCATGGAGATTAGACGAGATACTGAGTCCCTGGAACAAGCTATAGTTTTCTACTTTTTTTGTCTTCCAAGTGAAATATTTTATTCATATTATGCATCTCCACAGTCTTGGAATCTGTCCAAAATGGGGACAGTGATAGTTCCCTAGTTTTCCTCGTTTTTCTAGTCTCTACTTCCCTAATTTCTGAAATTTGTTTATTTACAGTGACTATGGTGTTTGAAAAATACAAGGTCATTTATAAAAATAATTTCCGTGCAAACTAGGCATGGGATACTAAGTTTAATTTAGGGGGACCATTGTTAGGTGTACAAAAAAATAACGTTATGTTCCATGTGATAACAAGATATCCAGAGCAGACTCATATTCAGGCCCAAAAATGTTCAATCATTTGACAACCAAAAAACGAAGTACCTATTTATTCTAGATCACCAAATCTTAAATGGAAAAGATGTACAAGTACAAAATCTTATTTGATTTGAACTACAACATGATATAATACCATCATTCTAAAATTTGTGAATTCCTTCACCACTAATGTTGGAAATAACATAGCATCCACAAGGTGGAAACCAAGTAAAGCAAACTCAACTACAAGTAATGGCCTTAAATGTTTCAGAAGAAATCTAGAATCTACCACATTTTAATTTGACAACGGTGCTTACTAGCTTACTTTACTGACTTAGCACCCTTTCAAGGGAGAAAATCATCGTACCTCTTGCAAATATTCCCACCCTGGTTTTCTTTTGGCTACTTCATCTCGGAGTTGATCATACCGCATGGATTCCTAAACCACGATAAGGAACATTGCATGAGTCATGATGCCAATAACATCATTACAGCCTTAGTATATATGCCAAAAAGATGTAGCTGAGATTTATTGAATACAGGATAGGGCAAATTATAGAAAGAATGATGTAGATTGAATCTACAAACACACGACAACAATAACCAAACGGATTGAATTCAGAAACAAACTTTTATTATTTTGTGAACAACCAAGAAAACCCTAGGAGGCGTCTTGCAGCGTCTTAAATATGAAAGAAAAGATAACCTACTGGGCCAGCAGTCCCAAAATGGGCTAGGCTACAAAATGGAAATAACAAATGCTGAAAATAAATAACACAAAAACTTAAAATGCTGTTTTGACACACTAAACAACTTCAAATGCCCAAAAACCCTCGTACGTCACGACGAAGCGGTGAGTTCAATCCGAAACGCTCGCTACCTTTCCGAAATGGGGATATGGGCCCAAAATTTGAAAGCCGACCATCCAAACGTTCCATGTATGCCAATACCTGTTCCTCCACATAAACCTCATCATTCTCCCCGGGATCAATGGGATTCACCCTCAAATCAGAACCGATAGCACTATCTCCCACGTTATCTCCATGGTATGGCAAAAGATGCTTTACATTAAACACATTAGAAGTCCGTATATGGGAAGGAAGTCAAAGGCGATAGGCGTTGGGGTTGATCTTCTCCACAATTTCCATTGGACCAATGATACAAGATGATAACTTCGAATGCTCATGAGATGGCACTCGATCCTTAGTCAGTACCGCCCAAACATAATCCCCAATGTCAAACTCAACAGGATGTCGATGCCGATCAGCCGCCTCTTTATACTTACGGTTGGACTCTAGCAGATTAGTTTGTGTTTCCTCGTGAACTTGTTGCAAACTACGAACAAAGTCAACAGCTGTCCCATGCAGCCGAGTCTTAGAGGGCAGAGTCAATAAATCAACAGGGCTGCGGGGCAGAATACTATACACAACCCGGAACGGACTGAAACAGGTGCTTCTATTTCTAGCATGATTATACGCAAACTCTGCCTGACTAAGCCGCTGATCCTATGAGCGTAGATTATCCCCAACCAAGCACCGCAACAAGTAACCCAAAGAACAATTAACTACCTCTATTTGCCCATCAGTTTGAGGGTGATAAGCACTACTAAAATTGAGCGACGTGTTAACTGACTTCCATAAACTCCGCCAAAAGTGACCGATGAACCTCGTGTCTCTGTCAGACACAATGGAAGTGGGCAACCCATGCAACCGATAAATCTTTCTGAAAAATAGCCGAGAAACCTTGACAGCATCAGTGGTGCGCTTGCAGGGAATGAAGTGCACCATTTTAGAAAAACGATCTACCACCACAAAGATGAAATCATTACCACGTTGTGTGCGCGGTAAACCCAGGACAAAATCCATGCTAATATCAGTCCACGGAACTGAAGGCACTGGTAAGGGTCGATAAAGACCAGCGTTTGTGGCTTTTCCCTTTGCCACGTGGCACACCTTGCATCGTGAGACAAACTTCTCCACTCCACAACGCATAGTAGGCGAGAAAAATGAAGCGCTAATCAAAGCTAAAGTACGATCTCGCCCAACATGACCTTCACCATGAAACTCCTCAATCAATTTCAGACGAAGGCTGCAATCTGATATACACAACTGAACACCTCTAAACACATACCCATCCTCTAACAGAAAAGAGGAATGGGGTCCCCGCAGTAAACTGTGATAGATGGGGCCAAAATAAGGGTCATCAGCATAAAGAGAGACAAAGGTCTCAAACCCGGTGACCGCTACCTGTAGCCGCGCTAATAACCCATGCTGCCGACTGAGCACATCTGCCACACGATTAGAAGAACCAGCCTGATGTTTAATGACAAAGTTGAACTGCTGCAAAAAGGCAACCCATGATGCATGACGGGCAGATACAGACTCCTGGCTTGACAAATGCTTGAGGGCTTCATGATCACTGTATAAGACAAATTCTTGCTGAAACAGATAATGTCGCCAATGACGAATGGCCTGAACAACAGCATAAAGCTCTGCGTCGTAAGTGCTATACCTCCCACGAGCCCCTGCCAACTTCTGACTGAAATAAGCTACTGTTTTCCTTCCTGAGTAAGGACAGCTCCGATACCCAATTTAGAGGCATCACAATGTAATGCAAAAAGTTTTGTGAAATCAGGCAACGCAAGTATCGGGGCTGAAGTCAGACGCTCCTTAATGATCAAAAACGCCTTCTCAGCCTCGGGTGTCCACTGAAACTTACTCTCCTTCATGCAATCAGTAATGGGAGACATGATGGTGCTGAAGTGCTGAATAAATCGTCGATAAAACGACGCTAAACCGTGGAAACTCCGCACATTAGAAACTGACTGTGGACGCGGCCACTGCCGAATCGCATCAACCTTAACTGCATCCAACGTTACCCCACCGGCTGACACAACATACCCCAAAAATAAAACACTATCGGTATAGAACACACACTTCTTAGTGGCTGCAAAGAACTTCTCCTTGCGTAAAACAGTAAGGACTTCCCTTAGATGCACACCATGAGACTCCTCCGACCCACTGTACACCAATGTCATCGAAGTATACAACAACACACTTACCAATAAACGGTTGAAGTGCTTGGTTCATCACCCGCATGAACGTGCTCGGTGCATTGGATAGTCCAAACGGCATAACTAGCCACTCAAATAATCCCTCCCGTGTCTTAAATGCTGTCTTCCACTCATCACCAGGACGGACTCTTATCTGATGGTAACCACTTTTCAAGTCCAGTTTGGTAAACACAGTTGCGCCGGCCAACTGATCAAGCAAGTCATCTAGCCTCGGTATCGGAAAGCGATAACGAACTGTTATTTTGTTGATGGCCCTGCTATCTATACACATCCGATAACTCCCGTCTTTTTTTGGCACTAGGAGTGCGGGGACTGCACACGGGCTGAGGCTCTCTGATGTACCCCTTCTGCACCAACTCCTCTACTTGTCTCCTCAACTCCTCATGTTCCACTGGACTCATTCGATAATGTGGGCGATTAGGCAATGACGCGCCCGGTACCAAATCAATGTGATGTTGCATATCCCGCAAAGGCGAAAGACCCTGTGCAAGGTCATCCGGAAACACATCATGAAACTCAGACACCAAGGCGGCAGCTTTGGGGTGAAGACCCGTCCCCTCGGCTGCCATAGGAACTATCGACACTCCTATCGCCTCAGTTCCCACTAACAACAGTACAACACCTTCTGCCAGCATCTCACGCACAAACAAAGATCGGGAAAGTAGATTACTACTGTCCCCTGCCGAAGACAGACACTGCGTATCTTTGGAGGGTAAAAGTACAATCTTTTTACCCGAAAAGGTGAATGTATATGCATTTCGACGCCCTTCATGGCACACATCCCTATCAAACTGCCATAGACGACCCAACAACAAATGGCACGCATCCATCGGCACCACATCACACCAAACACTATCACGATACACACTGCCAATAGAAAAAGATACCAACACACGGCTAGTAACACAAATTTCATTACCTCCTCTCAACCATGCTAGGCTATAGGGAGCAGGATGAGGTTCGGTGCTTAACTGCAGCTTCTGCACGGCCGCTTCAGATATCACATTTTCGCAACTGCCCGAATCAATGATGAACCTACACACCTTTCCTCCAATGGTACATGTATACAGAAAGATATTGTTTCGCTGCAGGGCCTCAGACAACCCCTTAGGCGTAAGGCACGCCCGTCGGACCACCAAAAGAGGCCCCGTGTCACCTATATGCACAATTTCAGCCTCTTCTTCTTCATTCTCCACATGAACAGGATCGTTAACATCGGCTTGTGTTGTCCCTCCAATGAACAAACCTGGGCGTGGCTGCCCATGAGATGGGCAGTCCTTCCTCAAATGACCAAAACCACCACAACCAAAACACTGACTTCCACGCCCTCGTCCACCAGGAGGAGCTCAGCCACCTGGATTAGCGGTTGGAGGAACCATTGGCCGAGTGTTCCGATCAACACCCCGACCCCCAGATGTAAAGGATTGGGACGGACCAGATGTGGGATTTGGGGCGAATTGTCGACCCCCACCTCCAGATGGACCACCAAAAATGCCTACTACAGAACGACGTTGTTGTTGATTTTCAGCCTGAAGTGCTCGCTGGTGAGCCTCAGAAACAGATACCGGCGAGAACATATTTAGGACGTCTTGCAAATTCAATCGTAGTCCACCAATATAGCGCGCTACCAACTGGTCTTCTGATTCTCCCACATCATTTCGCGCTATCAGTTGGTAAAACTCTGTGGAATAAGTATCTACAGATCGATTGCCTTGTCTCAAATTCTGTAAGCGTTGATACAAAGTCCTGGAATAATTAAAGGGAAGAAACGCTGCCTTCAACTGTTTCTTCATTTTTTCCCACGACTGGATTTTCGCCTTACCCTGACGGATCTGGTTTTACTTCAGTTGCTGCCACCACGCAGCAGCACGACCACGCAGACGAGTCGCCACCAAAGGCACCCTTTTATTGTCGGGCACTTCTTTGTAATCCAAGATCTCCTCTACTGCCGCCAGCCAATCGAGGAATTCATCTGCCTCAATTCCACCGTGAAATTCAGGTATATCAACCTTGAATCAGGATTCCCATCGCTGAAACGCGTTCTGCTGTTGCACACGAGGCTGTTGAACACGATCGCCACGTGCCTCTGACAAGGTCTCCTCATCCGACCTCTCCCCTGATTCAGATCCACCTCCACCATCACTCACTGGGGCACGACGTGGAGGAGCAGGAGGTGTTCCGTTCTGCACAACCTCTGCCGCCCACGTCATGAATTGATCAAATCGGATTGTCAACGACTCAACTTGATTACGCAGATCTGCAACTTCATCAATCTGGCCACCACGGCCACCACGTCCTCTCCCACGCACCATGCTCTGATACCAAAATGATGTAGATTGAATCTACAAACACACGACAACAATAACCAAATGGATTGAATTCAAAAACAAACTTTTATCATTTCGTGAACAACCAAGAAAACCCTAGGAGGCATCTTGCAGCGTCTTAAATATGAAAGAAAAGATAACCTACTGGGCCAACAGTCCCAAAATGGGCTGGGCTACAAAATGGAAATAACAAATGCTGAAAATAAATAACACAAAAACTTAAAATGCTGTTTTGACACACTAAACAACTTCAAATGCCCAAAAACCCTCGTACGTCACGGCGAAGTTGTGGGTTCAATCCGAAACGCTCGCTACCTTTCCGAAATGGGGTTATGGACCCAAAACGGACACCAAACGCAAAAGTTACATCAATTTCTTTGAAAGCCGACCATCCAACCGTTCCATGTATGCCAATGCCTATTCCTCCACATAAACCTCATCAAAGAAGCATCTCAAGCAAAGTTCCTAAAATATGTTATGATACCAAATTTCAAAGGGCAAGCATGTGCAAGCTAATACTCAATGAATTACATTATATGCCAAAGCAAATGTCATTATAACTGAATGAGGAGTACAAGAAGTGGCAAGAGCTCAAAGATTATCAGATCCATCACAAGAAATACTTGTGCAATTCAAGACACAAGCATTTTCTGACAACGAAAATGAACTGTAGATTTTTTCTCCTGTTAGAAGAGCTATTGTAAAACATAAAAGAATAAAGGCAAAAGGGAAATACAAGAATACTCACAGGAATACTATTCACTTGCTTTCAGATATGTAGACTAATGTTCAGAACATTCTTGCTTTTAAGGGGTCATGTCCAGAATGGCAAAAATAAAAAATAAAAATAATCCCAATGTCTTGGCCCCTGTTTACTTCCAGAAATATAAAGTTCCCCTACTTTCTTACTTCTGGTCAAAACCATGCTGAAAACTATACATTTACTATTTCAAATTGGTTTCTACAGTCCCAGTGATGTCATTGACTTTGTCTGCTTGAAATTACAAGCATGATAAACAAAAGATATATTAGGCAATCAAGAAACTTAAAATTGGAGAAACAGGCCTTGTATTGCCACCAAATTTTCTGCTTGACATCTTCATCATAATCAAAACCTCCCACAATCTGAGGTAATGTAATCAACCAAAATGCAGCAATGCTTGGATCCTTCATACTGTCAACTATATGCTGCATCAATGAACAAGATTGTTAAAAATATGTAGCACCAAACCAAAGTTTAGGAATTTAATATAATAATCATAGTTGATCATCATCTGAGACATCATTGATAGGTTGAATATTTGTTTGTGAGAGAGAGAGAGAGAGAGAGAGAGAGAGAGCGAAGACAGTAACATATCAGAATCTCCCCATCATAAATATTGAAACTCAAGGTACTTCAGTTCCTCTCTCTCTCTCTCTCTCTCTCTCTCTCTCTCTCTCTCTCTCTCTTATTTGTCTCTTTAATTTCTCTTTCTGACACTAGTCTACGTAACATATCTTCAAAAATTAAATCTGAACCTTCTACACAAATTATAGAACCACAACCAAATAGTAGCACTAGATTATCATGCTGAAAAATTAATTTTCACAGTAGTACTTAAGCAGATGACAAGAGCATACAGATTCTCTTCCAGGAATTGTATTCAGGTTACATTGAAATCCTGTTGTATATCAGGTTTGTATATTAGTAGGTCAACAAACAAAACAATACTCCTGCAACAAGTTTTCTTGTATGTAGTACAAGTTCTTCGACTTCTATACCAAGTTTTGCTTGTTTGAATGCAACTTCATTACAAAAGAAGAACTGCTGTCTTCTTTTTCTAATATCCATGGTAAGAAAATTATCCTTGTCTAATGCAAAATCACAACACTAGTTTGATCTTTTGTTAACGGTTAAGAAAGGATACGCACATAAAATGGGATTAGCATAAAGCTACAAGAATTGGAAAACACAGTGCCAAGAGACTGAAATGTAATCGGCCAGCAGTACACAAGAGAAGTGCACTTCAAATAGGCTCAGGGAAACAATGGGGGTATGGCAAATTTATAAAGTATTAACGAGAAAGAAATCCCACAATCCAACTACAATTTTTCATAGTGACAACTTGATTTCACATATATGTTCAGTAGAAACACAGAGACATTCTTTGATCACACAAGCACATTCTTCCCCAGCCTCTCATAATGCACCATGTCTTATCTTTTATAGTTCTGCAAGAATATTCTTTTTTAGTTGAAGACAAGAAAAGATAATGATGTAGCACTAACCTCATATGGATAGTCCATCTTACGCAAAATATTGTACGCTTTCCATGGAGGCTCCATTATCTGAGGAAATAAAAAGATAAAAGAGATTTGACTGCCCAATACGTTAATAAAATACAAGCATGAGACCTATCAGCTATGTTATGTATAAACAGTTCAATCTCAGATATGTTATGTATACACAGTTCAATCCATAAACTTCTTTTACTGATTATAGTAACAATCAATTTGGGAATTTTAAGATCTCAACAGAAACTCTGGGTAAATAAACTCACAATAGAATAAAATCACAACTTACATCATCGGCAGATATCCTAATAGGCAACTTTCCTTTGCATTCTGGGCATTTCATCACCCCCTGCAAGCAAGCGACTACTTTATACAATTATCACAGCTCGAGTTTAAAGTCTTCTAAAATCTTCAGAAGATAAGGTGAGAAGTGAATAGGGTATAGACTATTTTCAATATCAAGATTAGCATTCGGAAGGCCTTTTCATTAAAGCTTCAAAACAGAGTAAACAAAGAAATAAAGGAGCCTAAACTACAACGGAAATATCCCTTGCATAAAATTAAGGGTGAGAGAAATTATCTTTGCAATGCATCACCATTCAAGGATTATATACATACACACAACCCTACATAAAGTGAAATAGAATAAAGTTGCCAATATCCTCATAAGGGGATAACAAGAAACTAACGCGGAATTTATTGAAGAAGAAATGCAACATATCTCTCACCGATCCATCACAAGTTGGGCACTCTTTAGATGGCAAGGGCAAATGCAGGTCAAGGGTGGAAGGAATATGCACCAACTCAGCTCGGTTATCAGCAATGGCATCAGCAATACTTTCAGCTGTTGCCTTCTCCCCACTACAGCAGGATTAATTAAAAATTCAGAATGAAGTAGAAGTTAGAAGCTGTAAGGCAACATGGATGCAGGGAAAGAACAAGATTCTAAAGAATGAGTCATAACATTGTCATCTGCTCTCTATTATATTAAGTCCCATAAAGCAAATCTGCAACGATTACCTTATAAATTTTAGGCTGACACCGCAAAGAGTAGAAGATTAATCAGATATGGTGTAGACAGCAGAAAAGTGGCTTTGATGAAAAGAAAAAATAGCAATAATTACTATACAAAGCATGGAGACAGCCACTACGAACATGCTGGGAAATTGAGTCGCCACATTTTACATTGCTAGAAAGCTGATGAATCTCTGTGTCTTACTTTGCTACCAGTGCAAATGGATAAACCCAACGACTTGTCTTGATAAAGACCAGACAGCTTTAAAATCAAAATATTTAAGTAAATATAGATATGGTCTTGAAAAAATATAATGAGAGGAGGAGAGAAGAGGATTAGTTAATGCACGCCATGAATTTAATAAATGCATTCAGAAAACTTTAAACTTCTCTCCAGCTAAATCCTAGCCAATCAGGTATCTTGAGTACTATAATAAGAGGGAAAGAATCTTGTAATTTATACTTAGCTCTCACGTTAAAAAATTAATTAATACTAGTCTACCTTCTCAAGTTATAATCTTTCACTTGGTACTGCACCTTTCCTGAGCCTTTGCACATTGTACACTGCATCGCCTGCCACCCATTGCAGGTCTTACAATTCCTGCATAGATCAAGCATTTATTTTCAATCAACTTATAAAGATGAATTGAAACACGACAGATTGACGTTAGACAACGAAATGTAGTAATGATACTATATTCATTTATGTTCTCTGACTTCTACATGATTGGGATAAATAAAACCAGGATAATCAAGTTAAGATAACAGAAATGCCAAGATAGGTTTGATCCTGTAGACTGGAAAGGCAAAAAGCCTTTCTCAAAGAAAGTTCAAAATAAAGTGCAGACCTTTTTCAACAAGATCTAGTGAAACTGTAGGGAAGTAAACAATTAATTATTTTAACTCGATGAAAAATAAAGATAATTTGTGGGTATCAAAATCACTGAATGGGGGCATAGGCTGATCTAATGGGTTTTCCTTTGGCCCTTCTGAAGTAGGAAAACCGTGGACTTTACATTTTAGTTATATGGGATGCTTAGAGATTTAGAGGACACAGAAATCAACTGAAACAAGACAGTGGCTTTTTCTGGTTTTAATGAAAAAAATTGGACGGCAAAAAACTGATGACATGAAGAAAAATGAGGGAGAATTGTAGGCATCATGCCTAGATTCTAGTAGGCATTTTACTTGGGGTTTTAATTGAATTACCTACCAAAATAGTTCAGATGACCTAATACAAAAGAAAAACATGAATTAACACTCAGTAAGAAAAATCCTGGAATATAATAGATTTTTGAAAGATTAATACAACCTCCTAAACCAAAGAAAAAATTTAGAAAAATCATATTTGCATCTAATATTCAAAACTCTAATTTAGATTCTATTAAGAACTATATTGGGCCATAAAATAACTTCAAAGAGCCTTGCACGTGGATAGTTCTTGCTTTAAAATTCTCTTTTCTAGAACCTTCCATTACCTGAATCACTTTCACAGTCAGAATATATTGTTATTTTTTTCTTGCAAGTGTGTAGACAATTCTAATGCAGAAACAATAGGAAACACCTTCAAAAATTGTGAATTAATTGCTCCAGAAAGTCGAAAGTTTACTATATTCACAATGCCAGTGCACTGAATGTTTTCGCTTGAACTGACTCGTTGAGGATAACTAGGTGAGATTAAAGTTGGTAAGTTTCATCATCAATAGATGCGTGATGATAAGATCCAATATTTGAAACCACTAACAACTGTAGGGTGGACTAGAAATCACCTCTGACACAGCACCTTCTTACCAAGCTCAAATGCGATATCATAAGTCCCAAGTGTAGCAATGGCCTGAAATCAACCCATGGATGAATCAATCCAAAAAATAAAGAGCAACAGCTTGCCATATAATAAAACGCTAAATCCAAATTCAATAAAGAGAAAAGAGACGAAGGTAACTGCTTCTTTCTTGCAGCTCTCTCTAAGAAATTTATCCAAACCATTTTGCCACTAAATGATATTGGCGTCAATGGATGATGGATAAAATAACATGGAGATGTATTTGCACTTTCCCCAGACTTTTAACTGGGGAGAATGTGATTGCCTTATCTAGATATGATGCAGAAAACATAAAAAAGAGGAAAGGAATTTAAATTCATAAATATTTCTGCATGGCCAAAAGTAATGTTAAGCAGATGAAATTGCATTATAATTAATGAGGATTGGTCATCATATTTAATTCGATTAACCCAAAAAATATTATGTCACGATCTAAGCAATGGTGTTCAATAAAAGCACTAAATTGCTGTCCTCAAACTTTAGTCTTGAACAAACAACCAAGATGCACACTCCCCCACCAAATTAGAACCATTGAGGCACCTCGTAAACCCTTTAAGCGAACCAACATAAAAAGGCCAGCTTAAAAACAAAAGTGCAGGAGAAAACCCCATCCCAAAACCCTGCACAAAATGGTAGTTCTGTATGCCTCTTTACAAATTCGGTGTAATTCTCAACTAGTAATATCAAGGACTAAAAACTCCATTAAAAATCAGTCATCCACAAGTCAATTCCTTGAATGTTCATTATTTTCAAAAGAAAGTTCAAATTTTGTGAGCAGAAGAAAGACAAATCGTATGAAAACAACACTAGCACCTTCAATACTTATAAAATCTACTCATACACATTATCTAACGAATGTACATAAATAAGTGTGAGGGTAGATACAAATATGGCGGAGTAAGAGAGCTTGGAGATAAATTCCGGAACCCCAAAGCCACGCGGGGCGGAGCCAGCAATGTCGAAGGGCAGAGTGAAGGGTGAAAGCACCACTTTCACTGGGAAGTCGAGAATGTCCATGACTAGATGCCCATAACGGCGCGAGAAGATCTTGTATTGTAGGTCGGCAAACCTCTGTATGCTCTTCAGCAACCGCTCTGTTCCTCGGCTCATCTTTGGCGCAGTTTCGTGATGGAATTGAACGAGAGGTTTTTGCAGGGAGGAGGAGTTTGTGGATAACGGTGGAGGTGCTGCTCCGAGCCTATGGGGTTGCGATAAATGTACAAAAAGGACCCAATCAGTCCAATCGAGTTCCAATTCAGAACTGTAATACAACTTTTTCAATTTTTATTTATTTTTTTTATATTTATTTTTTTGAGAAAAAATGAGTTTTCAAATAATGAAATTCAAATAGAAGCTGAATTTTAAAGGTGATAATTAAATGGCAGAGTGCGATTTTGGATTCTAACTATATAGGCATAGCCATACTGATTCAGTTTCAATTTTCCTTCTTCTTTTTTAATAAATTCGTAATTTTAATAAACTTATGTATAGAATAAAATTTAATTTTAAAGCAAGAAAGTATAATTAGAAAATTTACACAACGATTTAACTTAAAATTTATCCACATCCTCGAATATTTCATTATCTTAGAGTTTAGATAGACAATATATTTATCATAATCAGTTTGGGTTTGCTGTTTTCATCGATTGTCAATGATTCAATTGTTTTCATTAGGCAAATAAATTTGTAAGTGGTTTACTATAATTATTAAAAGGGGGAGGAACGGAAATCAATGAATCAGACATTATTCGGTCCGACTGACACTAATCAGTTCATTGTCGAAGGGCTCGTGAACCCATCAAACCAACCCATAATCATTAGAACCGAGCTAGTTGAATGGAAATTGAATTTGATTCTAAATTGGTCGTAAAATGTGTTTATAAACTTGTCAAGCATGATAGTACTGCTTTCCCTACCTCACAAAAAAAAAAGTATATATAAACACATAAATAATAAATAGATTATGCCATTGATGTGTTTAAAAATGAGTAAAGAAAAGTGATTTTAACCATTCCAAACAAGAACTATATTGACACAATTTCACACCATTTTAAAACTAAATTTATTTGTGTGTTTTATAAAATTTTGCTAAAAATTTATCAACTTTTCAATTAACGAAACTTCAATTTCTACTTCAACAATACATTTTATAGAATCTACAAATTATTATCAACTTTTCAACCATAAAATTTTATCAATATTAAAATATTTGTCACATAGACCTTGCATGTTTCATGTTTTGAAAGTGACTACAATTGATTTAAATTACAAATAAATAAAAATGAATAGTATGCATATATCCTACAAATGTATGGATAAACAATATATTAGACTTATTTAGGGATGTCAACGAGTCGAGTTGAATCAACTCGCTCAAGCTCAGCTCAGGTAAAATATCCAAGCTTTTTTTCAAGTCTGAGCCGAGCCGAGTCAAGCGAAAGCTTAGTTAAAAAAAATAGTCTCGACACACACACACACACACACACACATATATATATATATAGGCAGCAGGTTGCTGTCTTTAATTTTTTTTGTTTTTTTTAAATATAAAGGCCCGCAAACCACATAGGCCGAGATTCCAAATTGGGACTTGGTAGAATCAAGCCTCAAGTCGGGCTGTCTCGAACTTTTTCCAAGCAAAGCCACTGGCGGCTCAGACCAACGAACCCGATTGCCATCCCTAGACTTATTATAAACTATGTCAAATAAGCTTTTAATGTTACATTTTTATCCTTGATCTTCTATTAAATAACACATCAAATCTTATGATAGTTTCTGTCTAAATAAATTTCTAACGTGTTAGAAGTAAATATTATATTGTGCTCACTTTTTTTATTTTTTTGTCATTATGCTTATTAAAAATATGAGAAGCAAATAAGCTTTTTTAACGCTTGAGGTCTAAGGTGTCGTGATTTAAATGAACGATCCTATAACGTGTACATATAAGTCGTCCACTGAAACTTATATACTCCCCACAACTTTTTAGACATAAACCATAACGAGAAGCTAGATGTGTTAAATAAATAAAAAATGGAGACATAAATACAATAATGAGCAAAATTTAAGTATTTTTAATACAATTAAAAAGTAATGGATCAAAGGAAATTTGTGGAACAATATAACCACCCTAAATTTTTTATGTATTCTCCCAAGTTGTTTGGCAAGCTTATGCTGTGCATGATAAAATTCAGCCAGGCATGAAACATGCTGAATTGGTTCATTCCAAACCAAACAATCATAACAATAAAATATAAAATAAAATAATTCTGCTCAAAATTTGTAAAATAAATGGAGAATAAATAAATAGTGCTTACAAGTCTTATGAATAAAAACTGAATTTAGTATTTATAATTAATATATAAACATAAGCATAAACTCAATTAATTCCAAATTTTGTTAAAAAAGAAATAGATAAAGATAAAGCCCCTATTTAATGGAGTTAAAAACAAATTTTTAGTAAATTTTCATAAAATTTATGGTTGAAAACTTGTGGATGATATGAAATATATAATTAAAATTAATTATTAACTTGTACTTAATTTCTTATCAAAATTTTAAGCGACGCCAAGAAGAGAGAAGATGGCAAAGAATAAAAGAGGAATATCTGGTACAGGACAATGATTTCTATTATTTTTATTCTGGATTGTAAATTTGTAATACAAAGTGGAGCTTTCAAGAATCAAGATTTGGTAATCTAAAAAATGCAATAAAACAGTATTAATCCGACACGGCCCAATAAAAAATCAATCTTGACTCACCGCTGAGCAAACGCAGTCACGTCCCACATTAAAAAACCAGAAAAGAATCAATTTCGTGTCTACACAAACCGTACACATATATACATATATACAGACACCATGGCTGCAGCTTCAGCAGCCCCACTTGCCATTAGCGGAGTTGTGAAAATGGGCACCCTACCACAGGCATATTTGGAAAGCCAGAAAGTCAAAGAAACTAAAGCCCTTATTTCGGAGCTGTGCCGCCAGTTCTACCACCTGGGTTGGGTTTCTGGGACTGGTGGCAGCATCACAATCAAAGTCCATGATGACTCAATTCCTAAATCCCAACAGCTTATTGTCATGTCCCCCTCAGGTACGTGTATTTTTTGGGTATATTACATGCATATTTGTGGGGTATCTTCGATTTTTTGGTCTTTCTTTTCGGATTTTGTAAATGAAAACTGAGTTTTGTGGGTGCTCTGTAGGTGTGCAGAAGGAAAGAATGGTGGATGAGGATATGTATGTGTTGTCACCAAATGGATCAATCTTGTCTGAACCATTGGCGAAGCCATGGCCCCATAAAGCTCCCAAATGTTCTGATTGCGCTCCCCTGTTCATGAGGGTATATTTTACACTTGTTTAGCGCTAAGTGTTTGTTCTCCAGGGTTTATTTTACATGCGTTCATCAGTAAGTGTTTCGGGGTTACCTTTAAAATTTGGGTTTATGGGTTTGATCATGCTAAAGTTTGCCCGTTTGGATTGTATATTTAGGTTCCACTCTTCCTGTCATGCTTTTTTATTTTTATTTTTGCAATGATGTTCTGGCTGAGATTCCATTTGCGAAAAAATAGTTTTTGATGTAAAATTAAAGCTTCTATAAATTGGTGACTACTGTCAGTATTCACATGTTAAGAAGTATGAAGTTTGATAACTATTTTGAGCTATTTGTTCTGAAAAGTGAGGTGTTTGGTGAAAATGAAATCACTGCGTGAGAGAATTTCAGTTAAAAAATATCTATGCCTAAGGAACATCTTAATTTGCCAATACACTTTCTTTTCTAAATTTGTTTTAAGAGCAATACTCATCTGTTCTGCAGGCATATGAGATGCGTAATGCTGGTGCTGTCATCCACAGTCATGGAATGGAATCTTGCCTCGTAACAATGATCAACCCATTATTAAAAGAATTTCGGGTATATATTGTTTACTGGCTGTTCTGGATATAGCGTGGATAAAGTCAAATTATACAGTCCTCTTATATGATCCTTTATGTCTCCTTTGAGGTTCTTTAGTTATCAGTACATAAATGGACATGTTTTCTATTTGTTTCTTTCTCGGGCGTATTTGTAGTTTTTGGATGATCACAACCACAGATTATGTGTTTGTGGAGAAATGAAGTAATTTAAGAATAACATAGTAGAACATGTCAATGCTGCTGTACTTACATTTCTTTTATTTACTCACTATATAACTTTTTTCTCTGGTTGCCAATGGCTGAGCTTGGTAATATTCTGAAGATATATTGAAAATAATCATCTCAGAGAAGTAAACATTAAATGGGATTGGACTTAAGCTTGTTCAAAATACTCACACTGCACTAAATGTTTCCGTACCGAAGAAAGTTTATGAACTTCATTCTAGAAGTAGAGAAATTAAGCTGTGGTGCATGTGCATCCAATTAAAGATTCTTATTTGAATTTTCTATTTAGACACTTAAAATTTTTCCCCAGGATGCATTTGACAAGGTCTGAAAACTGTAAATGAAAACTGTAAAGGAAAACTCATCACATGATCTTTCAGATCCTTGCTCTTCTGCTCCTAGGAACAATTGTGATGACAAAATTGATTTGTTTACTTGTGACTTAAAAACATAGTCCAAATACTTATGTTTTATGGTAATATCTCCTGAGCTTTATTGTGGTGCTTCTTTCCTTAATTTCAGATTACTCATATGGAAATGATCAAAGGAATTCAAGGGCATGGATATTATGATGAACTTGTCGTCCCAATTATAGAGAATACTGCCCATGAGAGAGAGCTCACAGAATCTCTCGCCGAAGCAGTATGGTTTCTTCCTTCTCATTTATGTGCATGCCTAAACATGAGTGTTTGAGTAACAGTAAGAATTTGTGTGTTGAATTGTGGAAATGAAGGAAAGCTGACTGCAGTGGGATATTTCAGCAACCCCATGCTAATCGCATAAATCTATTTCTGAGCAGAATTTTCGCATATATCATCCCCCTTACAATTCAAATGAAGATATGAATGCTTCCGGGCTTCCAGTAATTTATTTCTAGGGTCAACAGATTGGAAACTCTTTTGATGCATGCATTCTCCTCTGTTTACCAAGCTTGTTATTATTTGTGGATAAGTACCATTACTTTAAAAATACTCTACAAGAATGCTGAAGTGTCAAAGCCTATATGGATCAATTTTTAGATATTGAAACATTTCCTTGATGCAATGATTGGAAAGGCCTAGCATATTATTCCTCACTGACCTTTTTTTTTTTGGAGGAATAATTTATGATTTCCATGGCGCAATAATCTGGTACAACTGATTCCAATGGCGATCTCGCCATCTCGGTAGTTGTATAAGTTTTGCGTCCACTCTACTGCCCTTAGAAAATGGAAACAAATATATATCGTTTTCCACGTTCATTTTTTTAAATTTTGAAGTAAATGATTTAATTTCCAGATTATCGATGCATGTGTTTTTCTTGCCTTGCATACAAGTAGTATGTACATTGTCGATTAACTAAAAGCAAAATATAAGTTTCCAATGGAGTTGAGACTTGAAGCGAAGTTTACAGATGAGATCTTGATGCAGTGTGTTAGCCACTGTTTGACTGGCACAATAAAGATTGCATTAGAAAAGAACTGAAAGCTAGTAGAATGTAATGATTGCTAAAGAAATGGAGAAGAACGTGATTGTACAAAAAGATTGGCTGTACAAAATTAAGGAACTGAGAGCTAATAGAATGTAATGATTTCAAAAGAAATGAAGAAAAATGTGATTGAGCAAAAAGTTTGTCGCCGCACAAATCTAAGGGTTTCTGTAATTTGGTTGTTAAAGACTTGGAGACCATGTTTCCATGTCTCCAGTAGTGGCATTCTTCCATGAAAAATGATTTTTGATCCTTGTTTTGCAGATTAAAGCATACCCCAAAGCTACAGCTGTGCTTGTCCGGAACCATGGAGTATACATATGGGGTGATTCTTGGATTAGTGCAAAAACCCAGGTATATGGGAGCTCATATTATGCCCTTGTTTGAGCCCCATTCTTTTCTAAGAATGAATTTTTGGATAATGTATTGATGAGAAATGTATGGTTAAAAAATAAGGAAAAGTTTTGGATTTACATGTAATATTATTTTATTGAAAAATGTGTAATTAAAATTATGTCAAAATACTGTTTAAGAATGTTATCATATCTTCTCTTTTTCCTTCTAACCTTAAGCGCTCATCTGGTGAATTGAAGTCATTTAAGCAGAGGAACTTTAGCTACAAAAATTGATGAAATTTATAACTTTATGCATATTTGCTACCGTAACTTCTCTTTTCCTTCAAACTGAAAAATGCCATTTGCTGATCTGAAATCTTCATGGTAGAGAAGCTTTTTGTTTAGCACAAGCTATTTAACAGGTGAAACCTTATACATTAGACCTAGCGTTGTTTGAAGATTTACTAAACATGACATTTTGTTGCCATCTAAATCAGCTTCCTCACTTCCTTGGTTCATGGCTTTTGTTTGCTTTTCTATGTTATCACCACTGTTGATTGTTCATTCTTTGGGGTTGTTGGAGGTCAGAATGAGGTCCAAGAGTTTATTTTGTAGAATATATTCTACGTTCGTGAGGTGTAGATAATATATTGAAAGAAAAAGGTTTAGAATTAATCAGAGTAGGACTGAAGCAGGGAGTGTATATTTCATGGTGGAAGTACATGCAGTTAGGTGGTAACTGTTGGAGGTTGTGGACTACATAAGAGTGAGCGGTTTTCGTACTCAGGTTCAATCATCCATGTGGAAGGAAAATTGGGGGAGGCTGGTTAGATTAAGTTGAGAAATGCAACTACGATAAGAGATCAAAGAACCCTGTAAGATTGAATTTTTTTGTTTAGGACTTTGATAAGATCAAGAATGCTACATGGCACTGGGATAGGGTTTGCCAGAAAAGAACTTATATGTCAGTTGAGTGTTGCTAATATGGGATTGTTGTATTGAATTTGTGGGGAAACTTCAAGAGTAGGAGATGAACATACATATGAATTGATTAAGTTTGCGTCTATTTCACATAAAATATGGACGAACCAATTGAGTGAGGTTTGTGCAAATTCTAAGAAGACCAAATGATGCACTGGTTAGGAAAAGTGACAAGTATTAAATAAAGACGTTGAAAAATGTTCAACCTGAAATCACATCAGATGACTTTATAAGAAAAGCTTCCTGCTTTTGTTGTTTATGTACGAGGTCCTTACTAAAAACTGGAAGAAGAGGATAGGTTCAGCCGACCCCAGTAAAATATGGGATAAGGATTTATAGGATTGAGTATTTGTTTTGAATGTAATTGTTGGATTAGCAATATTTTGTCTGCCGTGGTAAATGACATCAAGTCTCCTGCCAGTTAAATAACAATAACTTCCACGTTTTTGACTGATCCATTTATACCTTGTTGAAGGAGAGGGGATTGCTTAGGTGTCTGGATGTGGATGCATTTTCTATTTGGATGCTGCTATTTAACTTCATCAATTGAGATTGGATTGATCATGGTCCTATTCAGAATTGTCTAAATGTCAGCTAGCTTGTGCCCCTCACTGCAGGCGGGATTCATTTTTTCCCATCAAAACTTGACACATGCACAATTTTATTAAATGGGCGGCGGCAAGACTTAAATCCAAGACCTTTACTTGCTCTGATACCTTATTAAGGGCACACAACCACATGTAAATCATTTAAATATTGTCTTTGATAAAAATCCTGTCATTCATTAGCCCTGTCATGTTGTCTAAAAGTTGTATAAACTTAAATTGATGGAAGTTTAAGATCAAAGAACTGATATCTTGCATTTGGGTTCTATTAGCAAATTTTTATCAATGTTATTAAAACTGGACTGACAGGTTGGTTCAACCGGAAAACCCATGAACCGGTACAACATCCGGTCTCTTGTTGCTTAAAACCCGTTTGATTCAAAACCATTCATTTGGCTGGTTTAAACACTAACCGGTGACTAGGAACCGGTTTATCCAGTTCCGCCGGTTTTTAATTGTTTTATATAAACTATGAACTTTTCAACTTCCAACCTAATAATTGTTAGGCCCAGGAAGGAAGATTTTGATGCTCTTGTTTGCCCATTTATTTATAGGCATCATTTCTAGTGCTTAAATTACAAAATTCTGATGTGGGATTATTACCTTTGGCTTTGTTACTGTGTATTACACTAGTATGTGTATTTAGTATTTATAGTTATTATTCCATTGAGTTAATTAATAATTTTTCTATGTTTCCTTAATTAATAAAAAATTTAAAATTCTTCCAACATTAATTAGCAATATTATATTATTATATAATGTTATTTAGTGTTTGAAAATATTTATTTATCTTTACTTTTTCACTATCCGGTTCGACCTCGGTTTGACCCCGGTCCGACCCTTTGACCCTTGGCCCTTTTCCGGGTCGATAAGCGGGTCGGTTTTTAAAACATTGGTTTTTATCATTTCCTAGGTTGTTTGCTTTGTAGACTTTTGATTGTCAACAATTATGACATTAAGTATTTTGGCTTGAATTAAATGACAGTACCTTCAATGCTTCTGTTCATCCATCATGTCACTTGTGCTGGAATATCATAACCTAGTTAGATTTTATTTTATTTTTTATTTTTTATTTATTTATTTTTACATGTTATCATTTCAATTGACAACTTATTCTTCCAGGCTGAATGTTACCACTATCTCTTTGATGCTGCAATTAAACTCCATCAATTAGGATTGGACTGTTCAACTCCTTCTCATGGTCCCATTCATAGTCCCAATGGAATTTTAGGCTCGAATGGAAAAGTTTCTGCAAAGGCAGGGATTCTTTCTTCAAATAATAGCATTGAGCCATCAAGAGTAAGTTTCACACTATTCTCAACTGTGCTAGAAATCTCTGGATCTGGCCTTGTTGTGTATTTTAATTATGTTGCGATAAAATTGTTTGGTTGCAGCGCTGCATTATACTGGATATTGAAGGAACCACCACTCCTATATCGTTTGTTACAGATGTGCTCTTTCCGTATGCACGTGAGAATGTGGGGAAGCATCTAGAACTGACATATGAAGAGGCAGAAACTCAAGATGATATCAAGTTACTCAAAGCTCAGGTAAGTCAACCACTTAAGAAACCTTGATGGAGATACATTCCTAAATGTTTGTGCCATTGCTCTCTCTTGCATGTTTTAGTGAAAAGAAATTTGTAATTACCATTTTTACTGTAAATAGTAATTTTGCATGCCTATTCAATTAGCACGTGAGAAATTTGTGCATAAAGAGGAGTGAAAGTGGTTTCTGGCCCCTGAAAAAACATTGTATCATTAAACATTGGCTGACTATGAATTGGATTGAGGATCTATGTTAACTCTTTTTCTGTTTGTATCACCGTTGTACATTTTAGTATTGGTTCAGATTGAAAGACACTAATTACTTCAGAGGTCCATGTCATTTGTGTATTATCCATTTTTATTTGTTATCACCAGTGGTTTGGTAATGTGATCTACTGTTAGTACTTTTCCTTGGAGCTTCTTTTCCAAGCTCAGTAAATTATGTGCAAGATAGAAAATTGGCAAAATATATTACTCATCAAGCATTTCCTCTTCATTGGACGATCAAAGATTGCCTTTCTTATGGATTTTCCTCTTGCAGGTCCTAGAAGATCTAGAAAATGGTATTGCTGGTGCGGTTCCCATCCCCTCTGATGGAGGGAAAGAGGAGGTGATTGCAGCTTTGGTTGCTAATGTGGAGGCAATGATTAAAGCTGACCGTAAAATTACTTCCTTGAAGCAATTACAAGTAAGCTAGATCCTTGTTAAAAGTTAAACAATCAGTTTCGGTTTCATCCTGGGAAATTTTCAGAAGAATGGCATTTAAACTTTGTATACTCTTAATTTTAACTTCCTCTCATGCAGGGTCACATATGGCGGACAGGATTTCAGAGGAATGAGATAGAGTCACTTGTGTTTGATGATGTACCTGAAGCTCTGGAAAAGTGGCATGCCTTGGGAATCAAGGTTATTCTTGCTTCCAACTTGTTCATAAAGCCTGCACGTATCTTTTTGGAAACTGTAGCTCCATCAGTATCATAGTAAATGAACCAAAATAGCAAAATGTTGCATAACAAACAGTATAGGATATATTTGCTCTTGGTTTATTGTTCCTTGATGAGTGTTTTTGCTAATAATTGATAGGCTATTTTTATTTTTTTATTTTTTTATTAATG